GAGAGGCAGGAGCAGAGCGCAGGACAGCGCGGTCCTGGACAGGATGCCCAGGGCACGAGCACGTGTCACTGTGGGTCCCCAGACCCAGCAGGAGCCCTGGGAGGGGGACAGAGCTGGACAAAGTCCTTACCAGCCGGGGTGGCAGATGCACTGCCCGCAAACGAAGTCCCCATGGAAGCTGCACTTGGGCGAGCTAAACTCTTGTTGCTGTGAGAGGAGAGAGCAGAGCTGTTGCCAAATGGCTCAGCTGCCCCCGAGACCATTTCAAGAATGGGAAAGGAAAATCTAGGGGCAAAGTTTTGCCTGCAAGACCGAGCTGTGCCATAGACAACATGCCCAGCTTGGTACAGGCAGTGATGAAGATCTCCTTGGCCAGGCTGAGCCTCTGCTGAACAACAGCGAGGGGTCGAGCGGGACCCACACATGCCGGCCAACACGTTCCCAGCCCAGACTGGCCAGGAGGAGGACGTCTCTCTGCAACACGCACCCCCACATACCTGTTCACAAGGACACACGTCACAGACGACAGAGGCCGTGACTTTGAGGCTGTCACTCAGGGATGTGGGTTTCACATGGATAACTCCGTGCCGGTCTTTCTCAGGGAGGCTGCAGACGTGCTGCCCACCAACGTGCTCAAGCGCCTTCAAGCGCATGTTGAACTTGCCCTGGAAGGAAGGCACACACCACAGAGGTGAGCCAGCTCTGCTGGGCCACAGCTCGGCCGGACCGACCCTGCGTGAGGAAGGAGGGACGCAGCGGAGGGCTCAGCCCCTCACGCATGCCTTCCCTCCGGGGCCATCCAAGGACTTACCACTTCCCCACGGCTGATGTGGAAGGAACCAGATTCTGTCTTTTCATACATGAAGGAGGTGAACTCTGTCTTTATGGCTTTAGGGACGAAGTCAGCCCGGATGTCCATCTTGGAGCGGATGCGCTGGGTGGCAGAAGATAACCACAACATTGATTTTCAGCAGTACGCCTGCAACCACCCCATGGCCTGCCCCGGAAGATCTGCATGCTGCCTGCTCTCCTGGGCAGGAGGTGCCCACCCTCCGCCTTCCCTCGGAGCGAGAGTGAAGCCCCAGAGAGCACAGTTACCTCAAAGGCTGTGCGGAGCAGCTCCACGATGTTGGAAGAGTCCTCCTGGAGCACCCCGATCTCAGAGATGGGGAAATACTTGTGCAGCTTCTGCAGAGAGACAGGAGCCCCCTGAGCCAAGTCCTTGAGAAACCTCCTCTAGCACTGAAGTGGGCTCTGCTTTGAGCAGGGCTTGGACCGGAGACCTCCAAAGGTGCCTTCCAACCTAAATTACTCTCCAGCTCTGTGTCCCCACTGCTTTACAAGAAACAGACACCAACACGGCAAGAGGATCTAGGAGCCCAGATTCGTGCACCAAATAATACACCCTGAGACCTCCCACAACCCAGAGCACTCCCCCCAACACACTGTGGCACCCTCCCAAAGTACCAAGGTGTTGGTTTAGCACTTGGGGACAAGAGGCGGGAGAACAATTTCTCCTCGCAGCCGAGCTGCAGGCAGAGGAGCAGTGGTCCTGGAGCAAAGGTAAGCCCACATGGCACCACTACCACGGTCTCCTCACCTCATAGTAGCTGTAGGAATGGTTGGTGACAGCAAAGATGGGGATGATGTTGTGTTGTCCCAACAGGCGCACCAGGGTGGGCACCGAAGGATAGTCCTGCTTGGTGTCATACACGTAGGTGCCATTGGTGTCTAGGTGACACTGCTCATCATTTCTTGCCAGGATCCCTGCCAGGACGTTGGTGCCGTCAGCTTCATAGTGAAAGGCAGATTCAGTGGAGAACACGAGCAGGTGAGTACTGTCCTTCCTCCAGCCGATCTTATCCTACAGCCAGGGAGGGGGAGAAGGAACCTTAATCTCTGTGCCCCCGAAACCACTGCACGGCACTTGCAGCCGATGGCAGGCCAGCACTGGCAGGAGTTGGAAAACCCAAGGGACAAGGCACCACCTCCACTTGGCAGCAAATGCAACCAGCTACATGGGCCTGGGAATCCAAGCCGGCAGGTCTCCGCTCCCCCCATTTGCACCCCCAATGCACAGGATGTCTCCCAGCAGCTCGGTGCCAGGCACACGTACGTACAGGGGCAAGCCCACACTTTTCTGGACTTGTTTGGAGCTCTGCTTATGCCTCAGCCAAACGGCCAAGCCAGAGCGGGTGTTTTCCAGGGAGCAGGGTTTCACCATTGCTGGCACCAAGGGGGACAGAGCAAACAGCACACGCAGGGTGCCCAGCAAGCAGCTCCCATGCTGGGATCAAACACCAGAGATACGCACAGAGATGGTCTAAGACTTAGGAAAAATTGGGAATGCAAAACAACTCGTCACTGGGAGCTTGCAACTGGGAGGGCAAGAATCAACTGCAGCTGAACGTATAACCTGGGCTCCCAGGCTGCCTCGTCAGATGGCCAGCATGCCGCTCTTTTGCTCGTCACCCAGTACCAAGAAGATCCACTCATTAAAAACAGAGCCCTGCCCACACAGCTCCTGCATCCCTGGCCACCAGCACCTTGCAAACAGCTGTCTGCAGGATGGCATCAAAGCCGCCCTCAGGTGCATCCAGGTTGCCGGAGATGCGCTCTTTCCTGAGCTCCTGGCTGAAGTAGTTGATGTTGCTGGTCAGGCGGATGACGTTCTTGAAGGAGAAGGGAGAGTCGGCGTTGTTCCAGGGCTCACGCAGCCTAGGGGAGAAAGGGAGAGCAGGGTTTTTGTGGGGGGCAGGAGCAAAGGTTTGCCTGGGTGCAAGGAAGAAGTGTGGGGAGAGCACCTGGGGGCTGGGGAATCCCTCAAGGGAAGACATGAAGTTGAGCTGGCAAGCCATCAGCACTGACAGGTAGAAGGGATGAGGACAGAGATGGAGGAGAAGACAAGACACGGAATCTGTTGTGGCAGAGTGGGGAAGGTCTGCCAGCAGCGTCCTCCTCTGCTTTCGTCGGCATGGTGCCGCAGCAAGCCCTGAGCACAGCGTGGGGAGGCCAGGGGAGATGTTCGCAATGAAGGGGGAAGAGAGAGATGGAGGCTCTTGCACTGCAGACAGTGAAGATCAGGAAAGCCAGAGAAGAACAGAAGGCACCTGCCCCCCGCCCTCGGCTCCCGTCCTGGGGACCCATTGGCCTCACTCACTTCTCAGGTCTCATGTCTGTCTGGGGGGATGACACTTTGTCCACAAACTTGCCGAATCCGATGGTGTAATTGGAGGTCAGGGCTTGCAGGAACTCCGCTGGGAGGAGAGGAAGGGAGGGAGGAGACAACACGTGAATAAAGAGATGTCTGTGAGGTTGCTGCTCCAGGGAAATAAGTCCTTTCCTGGGCATCTTCTCTGCTGGAAAAGTCTTACATAAGACTCCCAAACTGTCAGCTTTTAAGCTCTTTGGGCTTGGACCTTGTCTTTTTTGGGGTAGAAATCTATACCACCTTTGGTAGACCCTTTCCAAGACTGGAGCTTCTGCAATAGCACACACCACACCTATGGGTTCAAGATGCTAAAACCACCGCACTGATCGGTGGGGTGCAAGGAGAGAGCACACAGGACGATCCCTGCAGGGCCAAGAGAGACATCCCACCCCAAAGCTGCACAAAGCAGCAATAATAAGAAACTCTAATTAAAGCAGAGACCTCTCAGCCCTTTGCCAGTGGCATCCCTTTCTCTGGTGCTGGCAGAGAGGGAGTGCCGGCACAACCGCAGGCAAGAGTGAGCTGGCTCCCCTCTTCTCCCAGCTCTGGTCTCACCTAGGTTTTGGCCCATGCTTTTGAGGTTGTCCAGATCATCAGACATAGAGTAGGAGAAGTCCATGAGGATGTAGAGATCCACAGGGCTCTCCAAGGGCTGGAAGACATCCATGTTGAAGCTCATCTCCTCCCCAGCTCGCAGCCGCATGAACATGACCTGGGGGGACACCTGGGTCCTCTGCAGGGACGTGTTGATACTGAAATTCTGTGAAAAGAGAGTGATGTGAAGGGGACGGACACCATCTCCTGGGACGGATTCCACCTCCTGCACAGATGCAATGACAAGGAGGCAAGGAGCAGGGAGATATGTGGGAAGTGGAAAGGCAGGGATGATCACACTCCTTTCCCTCATGAACATCTGGGGACTGAGACAGTCTCCCCTGTGTCCACGCGTGCCCAGCTGGTGCCTCCTCCAGACCTTGGCATTTTGCTTACATCTGTTTTGCCTGAAAAGCCGCCGAGCCCTAAGCAATTAGGGCTGGTTGCCGCCAGGTTCATCAGCTAGCAAAGGCAGAGCATTGTTTTTGAGTAGACCCTACAGAAACAGAGGTCTGGACGTTGTATTTTTCCTGAGTCTCCCCTGTGTCCACGCGTGCCCAGCTGGTGCCTCCTCCAGACCTTGGCATTTTGCTTACATCTGTTTTGCCTGAAAAGCCGCCGAGCCCTAAGCAATTAGGGCTGGTTGCCGCCAGGTTCATCAGCTAGCAAAGGCAGAGCATTGTTTTTGAGTAGACCCTACAGAAACAGAGGTCTGGACGTTGTATTTTTCCTGCTGAAATGGTGGGGCCCCTCAGAAGAAGCTGAGCAAGGGCTGTCTCCCCAGCACCCACCTGCTGGGTCTGCATCTCGCCCCGGGTGTACACGATGCTGGCCTCCCCGCAGCCGTAGCGCAGCAAGTTCTCCCGCAAGTCGCAACGAGGCTCTTCAAAGCTCTGCCGAGGGGCCAAGAACAACATCACAACCACAGAAAGCAGCAGGGGAAAGGCACTTGTCAGGGTCCTCTGCTGAGACCACGAGGGAGCCTTTGGGAGCAGGAGCAGGGCAGGGAGATGGGGACGAGGCTCGCACGGGAGAGCCAGTATCCCCCAGCGCCAGGGAAACGCAACCACCAGTGAGCTACTGGGATAAGACTCTCTCGCAGCTTTCACCGGGGGTGGTGGGATCCCTCCGCCAGCCGGGTGGGAAGCGGAGCCCCGGGCTCCCCTGCAAGGTCTCACCTCGTCAGTGCAGAAGGAGCAGTCCTTATCCACTCGGATGCACTCGGTGCAGCTCTTCGCCCGGGACAGCACGCAGGGGTTATCTACCGGGAAAGATCGCGGCATCAGGAACGGAGAAAACCGAGGGCATGAAAAAGGCTGATCCCATTCCTGGGGGAGTCGGTGGAGGTTTTGCCTGGGTGGTTAGTGGAAGCTGGGTACAAAAGAGCAGTGGGGTAGTGTGCTGGTTTTGGCTGGGATAGAGTTCATTTTCTTCCTAGAAGCTAGTACGGGGCTATGTTTTGGATTTGTGCTGAAAACAGCATTGATAATTCAGGGATTTTTTTGTTATTGCTGAGCAGCGTTTACACAGGGTCAAGGCCTTTTCTGCTCCTCACCCCGCCAGCGAGCAGGCTGGGGGTGCACGAGAAGCTGGCAGGGGACACAGCTGGGACAGCTGACCCCAACTGACCCAAGGGATACCCCGTACCACATGGCATCATGCTCAGCAGATAAAGCTGGGGGAAGAAGAAGGAAGGGGGGGACGTTTGGAATCATGGCGTCTGTCTTCCCAAGCAGCCGTTGCGCGTGATGGAGCCCTGCTCTGCTGGAGATGGCTGAACCCCTGCCCGCCCATGGGCAGCGGTGAATGAATTCCTTGTTTTGCTTTGCTTACGTGGGCAGCTCGTGCTTTATCTATTAAACTGTCTTTATCTCAACCCACGAGTTTTCTCACTTTTATTCTTCCGATTCTCTCCCCCATCCCACCAGGAGGCCCTGAGCAAGCAGCTGCGTGGTGCTTATTGCTGGCTGGAGTTAAACCACGACAGGTAGCAGAAGAGGGGCCGCAAATGCTTGGGGAGATAAAAAACAGGAGGAAAGGCACACAACAGGTCTCATCTGCATGAGGACTGGTGTTTCTGGAGCCCAGGAGGGGTGCGCACAGTCCCCAAGGGGCAGCACCAAGGGAAGACCCCAGACAGACCTGCCACGGCTGCACTCACTTTTGCTCCTTTGGCAGAGGCTGGTGGCACAGAGCAGGGACAGGAGCAGCAGCCTGGCGCACGCCCGTGGCAGCACATCCATCCTCTTCCTCCTGAAACACATGGATCGCTACATCGCGGAGAGCCAAGAGATGGAAATGGTCCCAGAGACGATCAGGGCAGCTCCTGCAGAGCCCCTGCCCACCCAGAGAATCATAGAACCATAGAATCTTTGGGTTGGAAGGGACGTTAAAGGCCATCGAGTCAAACCCCCTGCAACGGGCAGGGACACATCCCCAACCAGAGCAGGGTGCTCAGAGCCCCGGCCAACCTGACCTGGGATGTTCCCAGGGATGGGGCATCAACCACCTCTCTGGGCAACCTGGGCCAGTGGTTCACCACCCTCATTTTGAAAATTTTCTTCCTTATGCCTAGTCTAGATCTGCCCTCTTTTAGTAGATTTAGCCTAGATTTAGATTTAGGCTAGGAAGCTGGTGCCTGGAAGCAATCTCTGACCTCAGCAGGGCACAAAAGCAAAACCAAGAGCGGCTCATCCTCTACTCGGGCATCTGCAAAAGGCTCGAAGTCCCCGGCGACGCCAGGGCAGGGCAGCTGCCA